ATCTCCTGAATAGTTTTATACAATTTTTATAGGCGAATTTAGTTCGTAATGTTAGTGATTAACAGGTGGTTTTGTCTGTATCGGAAACGATCCAGTAGAAAAAGGGAAACTATCAATATTAGAATAAATTTGAGCACTATTTAAATTCAAATCGCCCAATAGAAGTGTAATATTTTCGCTAATGATAGATTGTAACATTGAAATTGATATATTAGTGCCGGATATTTGTGATGGTGTAGCCTGTCTATTCATTTTATGTTGATCATTTCATTGAGCACTTGACGATGTATGAAAACTTCAGAAAGTGTAAAATATATGATAGAATAATATAACGAAGATGATATTTTACATTATTTAACGTGTCGAAGATTTTTTGACAGAAATGACATTTAAACAACTTGCCGGAGGAAGGAAAAAAGGAAAAAAGCATGTACACAACTAGCATAGAGCAACCGGTACAGGATCAAAATGCAAGTGAACCCCTAAGCCATCGCAAACATGCGTAAGCTTGGCAACCGATAATAGTTAACACTCTGAGCGGGTTAAACAGTTCATAATTATATTTGCATTGACTAAGCTTTATCAAAATAAAGTGCCTAGAGAAGCGGTTAAAGCCTATCTCACGAAGTAATGCAGGCGAGTCAATTGTACCTTTTAATAATTTAATTACGAAGGAAACCCCAAGAACAAATCTACGTTTCTCCAATGACGGTAAGGATAACAGAAGCCACCTATTTTCATAGGGTGGAAGAGGGGCAATCGGGTCCCAACCTAAATTCCTAAGGGCAAACAGCAAGAATTGCTTTTGAACAGATTCAATTGAATCTACGTAGCGCCTATATAAAGGAGACCACACAACAGAGGCATACTCAAGTATAGGTCTAACCAAACACATGTACAGCCTTTTCGTAATGTAGGGATTATCAAGCTCTTTGGACCACCTCTTTATAAAACCAAGCGCGGACCTAGCTTTGCTTATCGAGAGCTCAATATTGAAGTTGAAACGTAACCTATAATCAAATAGAAAGCCAAAATCTGTGATCGAATCGACGTCTTCCAACTTGTGCGAATCAATGAAATACTGAGTAATGAACGATTTCCTTCTTGAGAAAGAAAGCTTCTTACATTTATTTAGATTTAGTTTCAGAAGATTCAAAGAGCACCATGCAACCAAATTATTCAAATCACTTTGAAGATGATGTGATTGCGATTCTACGGAAAAGGAAGAAAATAGTTTCACATCATCAGCATACATTAAGATATCGCTGAATTTAATCACGGAGGGCAAATCATTGATGTATAAATTAAATAAAATGAGTCCTAAGTGGCTATCTTGAGGTACGCCAGACGTCACGGGAAATTCATCCGGGGTAATGAGGTTAAACAAAACCCAGATATAAGAAATTTAGGAATTGAAATCAAATTAGAAATCGGATATGGATAGTTTGCTGATAAATCAAAATTAGCAGTTGAAAAGTTCTGTCGGAAGTATTCCGCAAAGAGATTTGAGATTTCAAAATCATCCGAGGACTCGGAGCCATTAAAAGATATATGCGAGGGATTTATGGAGATTTTTCTTTTGGAATTAACGAACTTAAAAAAGTATAAAGCGGTTGAGGGAATTAAACATGTGCCTTGCCACTGAGTAGGCGAAGTAGTCGAAAGAACCACTTTTCAAAAATTTTTTGAAAATTTTTATTAGCACTATAATGCGCTATACAATTAGCCGGGGAACTGCGACTACCATAATTTACTTTGAAAGATGCGGCGTATTTTTTAAGTATGTTTAAAAATTCGTTATTTTTAAATTTGTCTGAAATCAGGAAACCAATGCCGTTCGGTCCTCTTACGCCATTTGATCCGAAAATGGCCACTGTACTATTGACTGGTAACATACAGCAGATGGATTTTGCAACGGAATATAAAGAATATATCTGATTCACTTTGGTGGGATACTTAGAAATTCAGTTTTGAATTTTAACATTCGATATCTAATCATATTCGTTTGTTCACTAAGGCGACAGACACTCATTGTCGTGAAAGGTGTTGGCATACACCGCCGCATTACGTCCTCTCTGGAACCCGGCAACAGTAGCGGATTGTGGGTAGCCGAAAAACGATTGTTCACACAAACGTTAGAAATATCGAACGTAAAGTAATGAAACTTGTTGTGTTGCCTATTCATTATGATCAAGATTGAAAGCCAAGGCTTTTCAACGGGATGAAGATGTTCGCGGCACCGTTACCCATAGGAACCATCGGTTTTGCCTGATCATATGAGCACAATGGTAAAGCTAAGTTTTTCAACTACTGTTAAGCTAATTTTAACTTAGTTATAAGATGTCTCGCTTACAGATCCTGTTTTCATGCCTTTAAGGTGCATGAAAAGGTATCAACAAAAATAGCTTTTAGTCGTGTAATTAACAAATATTCTCGTTCGTTTCGTTTCCAAGAGCGCATTCGCATTTCGTATTCTTCTTTGTTATAACATGAGTTTTTTTCACAATCCCTTTGGGGGTTGGAGGACTGGAATGACAGAAAAGGAAAAAAGAAGAAAAAGATGGCGGATGATGTAAACATACGTCGCCGAATTTATAAAATGTGAAGGGAAAAAAAAATTTCAGAAATCTGAACATATTTACGATAAATAAACGAAAAGGTAATTTGGACATCGTTGAACGGTGTAAAGAAGATTAAATACTTTTTGGGAACAATCAGTTGTCTTAATCTTTTATTTGATCAAACCATGTCCTGAATAATTCAGCGAACTTAAGCAAACCAAGTTAAATAACGGGAAGAAGCAGAAAAATAAAGTCGACGGATTTTAATTTTCTTGAGTGATATGTGAAAATCCGTTAAATAGAAAAAAAAGGAAATTATTTAAAATTTGTAAAAAGCAATAAGACGTGGATTATTTATTACAAATGAACATAAATGAAAACAGTTGTAAAACAAACAAATCATTGTGTTTCTATATTATCGGTTTCCTTGGTTATTCGGTGGACAATAAAAAAGGAAAAGAAAAATTTGCAAAAATTCAATGCAGAAGTTCTCGAAATTACTCAACTTAAAATTATAAAAACAAAGTCTGAAAAGTGTGTATTTCAACATGTTGTACATTAGCCAAAAACTTGAAAATTTTGCTACAGATAAGAATAAAACAAAAATGTTGAGAAATTGATTTTACGGGGAAAAGACCAAACAAATAGAAAGTGGTGACAAATTGGCGAAACATTTCTTATATACATCTTGTTGCAAAACCTCAAAGCAAACTCAATTATAAAATATAAATATTCCCTTTTTTTGGATTCAGTAAATATTTTGGAATGCATTAAGCAAATTTAAAATCCAGAAAATTTTTTTTTTTTTATTTCATTAAACATTTCTGCAATCTTCATCCGAAAGTGAGTGTCCCTCTGTTTTTTTTTTTTACTGTGTGCAAAAGCCTTTGTGTGCAGTGAAGCCTAATTCAGGAGATATTAATATAGTCTTGTTGCTTCATTGTACACAGCGCGTACATCTAATGCAACTACACAACAACAACGCCTAATAGATGAACGTTTAATGGAAAACATTTCTGGTGGAGTTATTCTTTCTCCACTAATTTTGCGTCCTTTTGAATTTAATTAAAGCCTTATTTGCTGGAAATAACACCATGTAATCGAAGAAGGTTTATGCTTAATGAGTTGAGCTGCTAACATATGTTTATTGATTTGGATGTCTTCTTTCTATTACGTGGACCATGGTTTGAGGGTTTTTGATATCTAACTTGAATCTAAATAAGTATAGTATGAAATGTGTGTGCTATAGCCATATCTATATAAAGAAAAATTAATGATAATTAATAATTGATGACTGATTTGTGAAATAGTATACTCGTATTATAGTTGATTTAATTTTACTATTTTATATATTACTATTTTTTTTTCATTAAATTAAAAGAAATACCAACAGTAAATTAACGTTAACGATAAACGTCACACATCGTATTTAAATAGATATTATTGTACCGTACAAGAAAAAAAGGGAAAAAAATTAATTAAAATAAAGCTGATTTTGTTTGTTTATTTTATAAATTTAATCAAAACTGAATTGATTTTATGAGAAGAAAGTAGGTCAGAGGTGGCTTTGGACCCAACTTCGGGGTTCTTTATAAACCTTTCTAAAGGCCGCAGGGAGACCAGTTAGTAAAAGTTTCGTCCGTCTGGTACTCGGTAAGGGGCAAGTGCGTGCATATTCTTTGGTGTAACCGTCCTGAAGTGTCCGTGAGCAAGTTATAGAACTCCTCCCACATCTCACGAACTAGCCAGCTATGGCACGTACATTTATTTCACAGCCGTTTATGCCTCTTCAAGTGACACCGCAAGGTTGCCCTAAACCTTTTCTAGATAACTGCGTTATACTTTAGAGGACAGACTGCATAAATAAATAAATTTATTTTATTTAAAGATTACATTGTTTATTAATAGCAAAACTACTAGTGTAAATTCAAATAAATACAACTGTCGCATGTATAAAAATCCAACCACCTGAGAGAATACGTTTGTTTACAATTCTCAATCATTTTGCATGTATTGTACCACTTTAAGGAATAAGCGCATATTCGTTCTCAATAATTCAACAGGTCTTTGTAAAAAAGCCATCGATACGAGATTAAGCGTATATATTCTCAATAATTTCCGTATACAAATTCCAACCATCTGAGAAAATACAAATTCCATTTGAGAATGTTTGAATAAATTTCTTTACATGTTTTGTGCCGCTTTAGAGAATAAGCGCATATTCGTTCTCAATAATTCAAGAGGTCTTTAAATTTTCACAGAGATGTATCAACACAACGTTATATAGTTTTGATTAGTTTTTAGTTTTCTACTCAGTCTCGCACGAGTTCTTATGCAGTGAGGATGTGTTGACGGAATTTTTTCGCAAATATAGCAATGCATTGAGTAAAGGTGTGTGTGTGCATTTACACAGATGTATAACAATGCTTCAACTGCAGTTGACAAGATTCTCATACAGTACTGTTCGAGTTAATAACAATATGAAGAAAGCCTTTTGTAAAGGGTTTTGAAAATATTTGAAAAGGCGACGATTATCGTTTTTATCGGAGATGGATGGCAGGCAAGCGGATAGCGTAACTTATATAAAGGCATGAACATACTTAAGATTACTCTGTGAAAACAATAACTGCGATTACTCAACTTAAAAAAGATTACAGAAATGGCTACAAAACGCGACAGCCGGGAAGGTGTCGTTACCATTTCACAGACAAGGGCAGAAGAAAAAAAAGAAAAACGAGAAGTAAAAGATCTCAGCCTTTACAGAAGTTGTTGTTGTTTGTATTGTTTTTTCCTTCAGCTTTGGCTGTTGTGAACTATCAATTTGAAAGAGTTTACCCGTTTCATTTGTCAATTATACTGCAATACTATAACATTTCCTATACGTCGTGTCAATTATAGTTCATTACTACAACATTTCCTATACCCCGATTTTCGATTTGATACTAGCCCTCAATACGTCATCATCCGATTTTAAATCATTTTAACCCAATTTCGTCTATAATGGAAAGTGTAAAGACGAACAATTCTGCGAAAAATAAAGCTGGAACTTACTATATGCAATTCTAATTAGTGACTGCTCACCAAGTTTCGAGAATGACAATAGTATAATAAATACAAATACAGGGAATGAATACGATTTACGATTGGTAACAAATTTTTTCTCTAAAAACCGGTATACACTATACCGACACATTTACGAAAGCCTGCAAAAGTTGCATGATTCGTCCCAAAAAATACGCTGGCAAAAATTCTTAAACTGTTCCATATTAATCAAAAACTTGTTAAAAAATATTTTCTCTGTCCAGCTAAAAAACATTCATAAATATAGTTCCTCTCGGTGAACTGACATGCCTGTGTTCAACAATAATATTTTACAACACTGATATGCACGTTCAAGGTGTTGAATATGAATCATTGTTTCCACTTCGCAACAATCTTTTAATTCACCATTTATGTAGGGTTTTGCGTAGCTTTTTTTATTATTTTGGTTGCACGCTATACTTTTTGGTTACACGCTATAATTTTTGTTTGCACGCTATACTTTTTTGGTCGCAAGCTATACGACTGAAGGAAATTTTGTAACATTTTCTTATGTAGATATCGTTGCGCTAGATACGATAGCAGCATTTTTAACCATTTTTATAATGATATTAAGAAGGCAGTAAAATATTCATAAAACTCATACTTGGTTTTCTACAAAATTGTACCTATTAGCATGAAAGGTATTATTTTACATGATTTAGCTAAAACTTGGGTAGGGAAAGCTTCATATTGAAATTAAGCGCTCATGATATTCGAACACGAAGCGAAAGAATATTTCTTTAAAAGAGCTTTTTGTCGTTTGGCAGTCGTTCCACTCCGTAACCAAACGAGAGCTAATAAAAAAAAGGTAATATACGATTACAAAGTACCAAAAATTGTGAATGCTTACCAGAGGAAAAACTGCAATATTTTTGAGTTATTATCCTCTCTTCTAAAACACACCATGTCCAATATGACAGCATCAAAATTTTAAATTAAATAAATTATTGCTTACTTGGCGATAAAGCTGATGGTCACTGTATCAATAAAAAGCATTTCTAGCGATCTGAATTTCTTTTTATTGGCTTTGTTCTTCTTCGTTCAACAAAGTTGTAGACTTGCTCTTGCGGTACTTTTACTCCGATTGCTCTTCAACAGTTTCGGTGGTGTCTTTATGCATGATTCACAAAAAAAACTACCTACAACTTAAAGTATATGCTCATGTGTAGTTAAGAGCGTACGAGATAAGAACAGGATACATTAATTCATCCATCACCGCCACACCGACACGATGTGGTGGCATCGACATCGGAACATTCCAAAGTTAGCTGAAATTTACGAAGTTGTCTAAGCCTAGTTAGTTTCTGGGAGCTTGAAGGTGGTGTACGGTATAACCATCTTACAAACTAACATTCCAAAGCATTATCTGCCGTTTTAATTTGAGTTCCTTTCTTGCAATAAGCAATTTTCGTTTTTTCATTTTTATTTGATATGGAATGCTTCTTTGCTATTTATTGAATTTAAATTTTCCAGAAAGACAAACTGGGATAAAAATTTTCCGGAATTCAACGTAACTTTTTTTATGAACAAGAATGCATTAATTAACATAATGATCGTTGGGTACACTTCATAGGAAAAAGAGGGAAATACATAAAATTTATAAATGTACAATGAACATTTAATTTAATATATGCTGACTAGGTTTGATAGCGGATGAAAATTGAACAAAAAAAGTATTACCAAAACGGGTACAACATAAAGTTTCAATTAAATTATATTCAAAAGTGGGGAATGGGCAATTTTCTTCTACGGTATACATAGCTATTTTTTTTTTTTTTATACACCCAATTCTGTGTTTTCGTGGTAGTTTTACGTTTCAGAAAATAACTTACGCAAATAGGTAGCAAAATACGAATTTATAATTAGCGGTTTTTTAACATTTCACTTGAAATCAACTTGTTTGTAAACAAAAGAGTTCGATTCAGTTTTCTGGACCGTATGATATGGACGCCATAAACGGAAAAACGGAATTAGGTGTATTGAAACGATTATTTATTTGAAAGAATCTAATCAATTTCGTTATTGCGCTTTTTACACGCTTCAATGCATTCTTTCAGTTGTTCACTAAACTGGTTGGCTAATTTCTCATTACTAAAACGGACAGCCAATTTCTCCAAAAGACCTTCGCTCGATTCAGCGTAATTCATAGATGCCCATACGAAACTTTTGGGATTTTTACCCAAGTTATTAAAAATGAAATCAGCACCAATTCTGTGATTTAGGACCAGTTTGTGGATTTGTTCGCGACGCATTAACATACGATAAGTTCCTTTATCACGATGAAATAAAATTTTCAATTCGCCAACACCTTAAATAATCATGATAGTTAAGAAGGCTTATAATTGTTTACATAAATCTTGCTTACCTCTTTCTTTCCATTCTTTATTGGTACTGTCCCAGCGGAATAAAGACGCTCGTTCACCGAAAAGTTTAGATTCTTCTTCCTCGCCAGTTTTGACAACAATTTCGTCGGGCAATGCAATAATTGGCTCATAATGCGGATCGTAGTTCTCGTCACTGGTTTTATTTTCGCTGTCAACGTCGCCTGGTATGTTATTCTTGGAATCATTACTAGTATTTCCCGGGCTACTCTTTTCATTTGGTTTTTGGTTTTCTGGGATTTTTTTGTTAAAGTTTGCGAAAGCGTCGTGATTGACAAGACCTATAAACTCTCCAGGGGCATGTTTGGTATTCCCTTTACCCAAAAGCGAGTCATTTTTGGCATCCTTCGAAGCCTTTTCTGCCAAAGTAGCAAAATCTATTGCCGCCGTAGCGGTTTTAGATAAGTCCATAAACTTTGGGGTATCTGCAGTGCTACTACTTGTTGCCGTCGAGAAACCCCCGAAAAGAGAACCTCTGCTTTGAACAGTAGCGGTTGCAGTGCTTCCAAATACATATCCACCGCTCCCACCAGTTTTATTAGGTGAAAATCCTGTAAAACTGGTGAACGATGACCCGAAAATAGAGCTGTTGCTTGCAATTTGGCTAGAGTTGTTCGCGGAAAAGGAAAATATCGATTTATTAGAATCACCAGCGCCGAATACCGAAGTATTGCCGCCAAATAATGAAGATTTTTGTCCGAAAATAGAAGCGCCTGACACTCCGCTGCCAGTGCCTCCGAAGATTGATGTTGATTGAGTGTTATTGCTGATAGTAAAGGTTACATTATTAGCAGCGCCAGAAAACATTGTTTTATTCTCGTCAATGGTAGGTGATTTTGTAGTGAAAAGGATGCTGGAGCCTTGGCCTTCCTGCCCATCAATTTTAACCGTCACATTTTCATTTGTCTTCGCTATACTGTTTTCACTGGCTATAAATGCATCCACCAGTTTTTTCTTAAAGTTGATTGAAGCGCTAGGAGTTTTTGTCGTTGCCGCCGCTGAAACGACCGATGAAAATGTATTTTGCTTTATTAACATCAACGATGGCAATTCCATGGGTAACGTGCAATGTTTAGTGTCTTCTCGACTGATAAAGATTTCATTGTCTTTGCTAGCACTAAACGTGAAGTTATCCGCATCACATCCCCGACAACCAATGCAAGGAGGTTTTGCTTCAAAAAACTCCAGTGGCAACTTTAACTCATTGGCCAATTTTTCATTTTCTTCACTAATATTAAAGGCACTTGCTGGTGGCTTTCTGGTAACGGATTTCTCCGTAGAAACGCTGCCACAAGTCGTTTCTAATATAGGTAATGCACTACCGTCCAATGCCTTTTTGACAGCTTCCACAAAACCTTCGGCAATTTTTTTGCTCTTAAAACGCAAAGAAAATTTTTGTAACTCCATGGTTTCCTCACTAAAATCGTTGACAGCAAATAGCCAGGATTTATCATCTTTACGCTTATACTCCAAGTCTTCACTCAGAGCATGATTGAGACATATTTTCAGCACTTGATCACGTCGCATAAGTACGCGTAGCCTTTTAGTAACCAGATGACGCAATATTTTCACATTGCCCAGACCACGTTCCTTCCATTCGCCATCAGTGAAACGGTATAATTTAGCCCGATGAATGTATAAGATTTCCTCCTCCTCTTCGCCGGTTTTCGCTTCAACCTAATTAAAAAATGATACGTAACAATGAAATTAAGTTTTGATTTTAATTTTTCATTATTTAAAAGAAAAAAAAACAAAGTTACCTTCTCGGGCAATGGTATCACTGGTGTAAAGTGTGTATTGTTTTCTTCTTCCTCATGGTATTCTCTCTCAACATCCTCATCCCCGCCGCCATCAGCATCCCCGCCGCCAAATTTCACGGGACTCTTCACAGATCTTCCTGGGCTTTTTGGTTTAAAAGTGAAAGTGAATCCTTTTCGAGTTAAAGAGAAAGCATTCGGTGCAGATTCTCCGCTGGCTCCTGTTGTATTTGCGGACAATGTCTCAGCGGTGTTACTCGTGGAGGCAGCGGGCATAGATGATGCATCGACATTACCAATGCTAGACAGAGTAGAAGAAGTGGCTAACGGTTTTGGAAAAGTAAAAGTATTTGTCGCGACAACAGAACCACTGCCAAAAGTAAAATCGAGATTAGAGTTCTCTTGCTCTTCATTATCGTCGGGAACTTTAAAGCCAAAGCTAAAATTTTGTTCTATGTTAGGTGCATTTTGACTGCTAGCCTCTTCGAGGACGGCGTCACTTCTTGGTGCATCGCAAGCTATACAATACATTAAACCGTCGTTATTGATAACGTAGCAACTTGAACAAGTCCACGAACCAGCTTTTGCTTTGAATTGATCTCCAAAATTTTCGGGAGCTGAAAGAATTTTCTCTTTACCAACTGCGGTTTGTGTGGCCGGAGTGATCGTAGTTGGCTTTGCAATAGCATTTGATTTACTAAACGTGAAGGGACGTGGAGTTGCAGCGGATTGCAGTTGCGCTACATTCGGCCCGGTTCCAAAGTTGAAGGTAGCTTTAACGTTTGGCACAGTATTAGATGAAGTTGGTCGTTTCGAAAGTAATGTGTTCTCTTTAGGCAACTCACATGCCACACAATACAATTTATCTGCTGCATTAGTGATATAACAAACCGAACAAATCCACGAACCAGGTTTCGGTTTAAAGGCATCACCAAATCCTTCTTGTTTTGCGTTGCAATCTATTACATCAGACTTGTTTTCAGGTTTACTTTCATTTTTGTTAGAAGACAGTGAAGATGAGACTCCTTCATCGGCACTCATTTGGTTTTGCGCCTTAAGTATGATATCATGGAATTGTTTGCATATTTCTGGCGTTTTAAAACGAACTGTCAGCACCTCCTCGACTGTTTCTTTACCGGAGAAATCCTGCCCAACCCACGACAAAGTGGTTTGAGAGTTCTTCACACTTTTGAAAACCGTAGTTTTATACACTGGTTGGTTACAGCAAGCATTGTGCGGTTGTTCGCGTCGCATTTCAAGTCGCAACTTGTTTGGATCGTTTTTGTTCTGCAACAATTTTATATTTCCCAGACATTTTTCCTTCCATCCGCTTGCTTCTTTATCGTAACGCATCAATTTGGCGCGCTGTTCAAATAATATAGTTTCAGTTTCTTCGTCCGTATTAGCTTCAATCAAATCGGGCAGAGCTATGGCAGTTGGATTATTCAGTAAATCATTGGGTACATTATTGCAATTCGGCGTTAAAGTTGCGTTAGTTAGATTCGCTTTGTCCGCACTAAACGGAGGACTAGCAAAATTATTAAAAATACTGGCAAATGGTGAAGCTGAAAAATTGTTGACCGTGGGTGGAAAAATGGCGGTTGGCGAAATTCCAAAGCTTGTCATCGACTTACCAACTCTAAAATTGGAAAATTCCGCAAATTTATTTGCGGACATTTTCGACGGCTCAACTGCAGTGATGAGTGACGGATTTGATTCGGACGATGTACATTCGCTTCTGCAGGCTTGTGCACTTGAAGCAGCAGTGGGCATTATCGGAATTGCCGGCGCATTTGTCTGGGCATTTGTTATTGAAGCGTGATTTTTTAATTTGCTCTCTTCTTGTTGGGCCTTTTTAAACGCTTCTTCAAACTTTGCGGCTACTTCGGCCGTTTTAAATCGCACGAAATACTTTTCTGTGCGTAGCAATCCGTCAGCGGACTCTTTAGCCGCCCAAATAAAACCTTTCGTTTCATTTTCAGGAATTGTAAGTGAGATCTCGGATGTAAGGTTATGATTGGCGCATATATTCTGGGTGTGGTCGTTTCTCATGAGTATACGACATGTACCTTCCTTATCTTTTACAATTTTAATATCACCAATTCCCCGTTCCTTCCACTCGTTATCTATATGATGAAACAAAATCGCTCGATAAGAAAATGTAACCTCTTCAGCTTCTACTCTTGTATGTAAAACAGTTTCATCCGATGACGGTGTAGTAGTTTTAAATTCCGTCAAAGGCTTGCATTCAACTTGTCGATGAGCATCCGATTTATTTGCATCGCGACAAGAACTGTCTATTGTTCTATTTTGTTCATTTTGTTCCTTATTGCTATGGATGGTAGACGCAGCAGCTGCTGCTGTTATTGTTTGAGGCTTAAAGCTAAACGCAGCAATTGTGCCTAAAGCTGGCGTAGAAGCGACATTTTGAGCTGTACTTTTACTCGTTGTATTTGCAGATGTGAGGTTTTTGTTAAGCATTGATATAATGCTTCCTCGCGAATCCGAATTCTGACTATCCGTTGTGTTGTTAGCTTTAAGTTGGTGCGGCGGAATAGTTACACTTAATGTAGGCTGTTGTCGCGATTGCAAGCTAAAGCTGTTTGTATTAGGCAAGGGAGCTGAATATGAAATAACAACATTGGCAGGTGGACCATTTTCAATCGGCTGAACGCCCACAGATTTATTAACCTGTAAAGTTGATGTGGGCAGCAATACGTCATTATGAGCAACCATAGGACTTGGAACAATAGGCATTAAGTAAGCGTTTGACTGATTGTGACCATAAACGTTTACTGGATAGTTGGCAGGTTGGGGAACTGGATTACTGAAACCATTTGCTTGCACTTGCACAGGCGCAGGCATTTGCAAACGAGGCTGATCCTCAGCAACTGGATTACTACCTATAAAACCGCCAAGTCCGCTATTGCCAGAATTGTAACGACTCGATAGGATATGAGAAGTAGACACTTGTGCCTGTTGCTGCTGATATAATTGTTGCTGTAAAGCGTCATCAATGACGTAAAAATCATCTAACATATTCAACGCTTCATCACGTGATGGTGGATTTGTTGACTTGCCTGCTGCTTTTAACGCTTGCTCCAAACCAGTAATTTTTTCGTTCATTAAAACAATTTCCTTATTAACTCTTTGTAATTCAGGCTTTAAGTCTTCTAAAATTTCCTTTTTGAGGAGAATCAATGTGGACGACATTTGTTTAATTAGACATTCCGTTGTATTATCTGCGTCTTTCGAAGACTCCGTTGACGTCGTTGTATCGCGCCGACGACCTCGTTGCGAGCTTCCTAATGCAGATAGTGGAGGTGGAGTATCGATTTGTCTGCGGTGGAAGACGTCCTCTGCGTCGTGATAAATACTCGAGTTATTCTGTGGGCTAAAATAAACTTCTGCGCAAGATTCATTCAAATGAGAAGCATTAAATAGATGCGGCATTCTGATTTCATCGTGAATAATTGAATTCAGGCGGTGATTCGGATCAGCGTTTGGGCTCTTTAACAAGGTTAAAGTCTGTTTGAGACATTCGCCAGTTTTCTCCCAATACAAGCGCTTCATTTTCTTGGGTGTTTTGCTGGTCTGGTCTAATTTGCGATAGGCTTCCGCTTGCCAGTACGAAGCAAATGGTAATTGAAGCCCTGTCAACTCTTCAATCAATTCTTCATATTCTTTTCTTTCAAAGTAACGGCCAGCTAAGTAGGAAGTGGCATCCTCTGCGGCATTAGTTAAATCTTTTTCAACATCTCCAAATTTAGCATATGTGAAGTACTTAGGGACTCCTTCCAACAATCCCTTTCTGTGCATTTTAAGCAATTTTAAACCATATTTGCATATCGATTCTGCTCTGGCTTCTAATAAACATTTTTCCCCCTTTTTTATATTACTACTGACTCGCTCGATGAAAATTTGGCCAAGTTTGAACACAATGGCCATATCAAATTTTGGTCCGTTGACACCCCGTATCGCCTCAATACCGTACTGAAGAGTGCCTCGTAATTCAGCCAAATCGGTACCGTTGCTAAGATTTTTGTATACCTTATAAGCCGCAGACCACCATTGCGCCTGATTATCGCTGCATAATTGCGATTCCAGCAAAACGAAGGGCAATATATATGGTTTTCCAATCACGTTCGAATTTCCCGAATGATAATTCTCATACGCTTCACGTTCAACTTCAAGAGAACGTTTTGCTTGAATTGCAGCTGCATACATAAAGCTGTCAATATCCAATTGGTTCAATGATTCGGCGCTACACACGTTTAGATTCTTTGTGGAAAAACTCAAACCGCTGAAATAACGAGCATGAACAGAAGCCAGATTTTCATTGCATAAACACAAATATGTTGCGTGTTGTAATGATTGCGGCCGCAAGAATTGAGCGTCTTCTTCGTAGCGTTCTATGTCAGCCACAGAGGGCAATTCATATTCAGGTTCGTAGAATTTGGGACACTTGATTAGTAATGACGATTGTTCCTTTGATTTTTGATCGCTATTGCAAAACAATGCCGCGAAAATATTACGACGCCATTGGCCATCAGAGCAAATTTGGCGAATTTGATCAAGCAGATCACAACGGCTACGATTATGTGGCGAAGATTTCGCTTTATCAACAATAGTTCGATCGTTCACGTAAGAAAGTAATGTGCGGCCAACCTAAAATAAACAAGAAAATGAACTTTTGTTTAAATTTTCAACGAAATTCTATTTCTTTAATCTTGCTTTCTTCACAGACCTGTGCACAACGAAATGAGCCCTCACGTTGCCACAAAATTATTAATCGCGTACCATGTTCGTCACAATGTTTCATCCATGGCTCTTTATTTTGCCGCGGCTCCACTTGATAGGCCAGTAATAATAGTGGCAACACAATTCTGGCCGTTTCTCTCCATCTTTGCTTATTCAACATCAATTCACGTTTAAAGATCAAAGCAATCGTGTGCAATAGAAATTGACCACGATAATGATGAAGCAACAACTCGACCATTTCTTTTTGCACGCACAACATTTCATGAATTTGAGAAAATTTGAATAGATATTGATCCAAATTAAAAAGGAAATTCGTAGATTCAATAAGGCCAGTAGATGTGGAGACTGCACTATTGTTTAGGGTAAAGGAAATTTGAACTTGACGCTCTAAACAGCTGATCAATAATAGCCAAAACTCCCAATCCTTTTTAGCAGTCGGTAGCTGTTCATATTTGCTTAGCACTAAAAACACCGTATTATACCACTCATTGCTATTAATAAACTCATCTTTTTGGAGTTTCTCCACTTGGTGTACATATTGAAAAGCGTTGAATATTTGATTCTGATCCATATAATAGCGCACCAAATATATACGCAGCTGAACATAATTGGGACGTGCTTCGATTTCCTTTTGAAGTAATGCCTCCGTCTGATCATTTTCGAAGCTATCTTGTTTCGTTAATTTCAAACGTAGCGCAAGAATAGTATCGTTTTGAACGTGTTCCGACTCAGCTAAGTCACACCAATATTTTGCTTTTTTACAACTTAAGTTTTTATCCTCCAATAATAGTTTACACACTTCAGTCAAAACATCCGCTTGTTTTGCATTCAATTCCAGCGATTGCTGAAACGATTCTAAAGCTTTGTCATCTTTCTTCAACCGTATATATATTTGTCCCATTAGTCTATGTGCATCTGCGTCGTCCTTTTTGACGCTCAAGTATGAACATAAATACTGTTCAGCTGTTGCCAGCTCCTTGATGTTGTAGTACAATTTGGCTATCTGAAAGCCCCGTAGATTACGCTGTAAAAACCGGGAAAAAAGTGTAAGTAACTGTCTACTTTAGGCAATCGCAAAGCAGTTATAAAACTATATTAGCATAGCTTAATGCTAAATCGGTTTACGATTACTTGAAAGTTCAATAAATTCGAATTGTTCTTTTTGTTTATTGAGATTAAATGGATTGAGCTAATAATAATGAGCCTTGATGGCATAAATCCAGTCAGACAGAAACGCAGACAACTCGCCCAATCCTAACAGTGTAGCGGATAAATAATCCGGAAGGAAAGATTTTTCTTTTCTTGAAACTTCCCTGAACATAACCTCAATTTCTTCGCAAAGGAAAAAATGTAAAAATATTACGTTATACGAATACAAACAAAAATACAAATACCTCAGATTCTGAACGCAATTTGTTTAAAGCGACTCGAACTTTAGCATCTACATCCTTTTTGGTTTTATGCATAATTTTTGAGTATTTAAAAAACAAATTGGGAATTTTGCTAGATTTACTTGTCAAAACAACACTTAATTAAATTTTCTAGATATCTTTTTATGTATAAATCATGTATGTATAAACTGCTCTATTAAATTTATTAGTGAACATACGGTGTTTTTAGATACTATTTCGAATATTTCTACAGGGTTGGGAAATGAAGTGCGGTTTCTCAGCTTTGTATGCTACCCTGTAATTTGTATTTAATCTTATTTACAACATCTATGCAAGCATTTGTTTGAAGATAACACAAAGCCGATTATTGTTTGAACATGATAGGAAAATACATAGAATACAATCCTTTTAGTTTTATTCTCGTTAAAAGTACACCTTTTTCTAGGCGAAACATAAATTTAAAAATTTGACGTCAAAGAGAGGTGTTTTGCTATTTCCTATTATTTATAAATAAATGATTCTCAGATGCACATACCAATTGTATGGGTTGTATAGGAAATTTAACAAACTTTTCGATTCCAAATTATTTATATGGTTTTATTTGTTCTTTGTACGATAAATTGAAAATGTTTCAAAGTTCTCTTTTAATAAAAATTCAAAAATATGTGTTAAAGCGAATGTATGGTGAAGATAGAAGAGCAGCGTTTTAATGGCTAACAGTATTATAATGTTTCAAAATGCCGGCAATATTTTTTTCGCAAAGTGGGTAACTCTGTTTTTCACGTGTGTGTTTTTTTTAATTTGTTGCTCATAAGTGTGGAAAATAAGAATTGTTTGGAAGAATTGTTTTAAATTAATTTAATTATCGGGACGTATAAGCAACAATTTTTCAATGGTTTAGTCCACTCGATCTCAACATCTAAAGGAAAAGAAAAAAAAAAGAAGTTCAAAGAATTGAGGCTACCCCCTTATGAATAAATCCAGAAAAAAGTAAATAAATATTCGAAGACCAAAGTAAAGAAATGGTTAAGAAAAATAAAAAATCGTTATCAGATGCAGTTTATGCAAAAAAGTCATTAAATAAAAATGACAATCCTTTTGCTACAGCAAGGGCAGCCACCGCCAAACATTTGAATCCTTTTGAAGTGCATATAAATAAAGAGAAATTTCAAATACTGGGGCGTGTTTGTAAACATGATAAAGGCTTGCCCGGAATCTCCCGTGCGAAAGCGGCAAAAAAGCGCAAAGAAACTTTAGGTCAGGAATTTATGGAGAAACATAAAACTAACCACTTTAAAGATCGACGTATAGGCAAGCATCTTAGTGAAGCACAATTAAATGAGGAAATCATAAATGCTCGCTTTACCGCTGATAGAATGGAAAAAATAAAGCAGAGTAAACATTCACGTTTCAATTTAAATGATGATGAGATTTTAACACATCGCGGTCAAACACTAGCAGATATTGAACAATTTCGTGATGACCGGTCCGAAGAGGACGATGAAGAAAACGAAAGACTAGATGGTAAAGAATAAATTCGGTGTAATGTGTTCGGTAAATTGTTAATCTTTGATATATTTTAGCTGAATTTACGGAAGCAGCCCATTTTGGTGGTGGGTCCGAGACAGGGAAAGATCGCAAGACAGCTATTGATGAAATGATTGTGGAACAAAAGAAACGTAAAATGGAAATAGCTAAGGAAAAGGACGAAATATTTAACATGACTGAAAAATTAGATGCAAACTATAAAAGTCTCGTTTCTCTCATGAGCAAAACAAGTAAGAGCGAATTTAAAGAAAAACCTACGCCGGATGATTATGATAAATTAATGCGCGAAATGATATTTGAGCCACGTGGGGTGGTAAGCGATCGTTTGCAGTCTGAACTGGAATTAGCAAAACAAGAGAAAGAGCGTCTGGAACGACTAGAACAAGAACGTTTAAAAAGGATGAAAGCCGATGGTGAAGAGGAGAACGAAACTAGTTTGAAAAAGCCCAAACATCGTTCAGCGGATGATTTAGACGACGGTTACTTTGCCAATGGTGATGAAGATGAAGCTAGCATTTTGGCCTATAACTTGAAAGGTAAGAATTAAGAAGTGAAGTGGAAGCTTTTTAATGATATACAAAAAAAAAAAAAAAAAAACGTGCAGGAGGGCTCGAGACAAAGATGAATGGTGAAACAAACGGGTACTTGGAAAAGCAAAATCAAAGCAAAAACCAAGAAGAATGTGACAGCGATGAAGATGAAGAGGATGGTGAAGAGGCAGCGTCAGAATACGATGAAAATGATGATGATTTAAGTGACTTAAAAGCCAGTGAATCGGAGGATGAAGAAGAAACAACGCCATCCCAAAAAGATAACGGAGTGGATTGTATAAACAGAGAAGCACTTACGAAACCGCAATCTGTACAAAAGACGACAGCGGACTTGCCATACCTCATAGAAATGCCATCCAATTTTGAAGAGTTCAACAATTTATTGTTACCTTACAAACTTTCCGACCAAAACATTATAATTGAACGTTTAATTAAATGCAACCATCCGGAATTAGAAATTGGTAAAGGCGAAGCTGTTGCCAAACTATTTTCTCACATATTAAAATTGTTAAATGAGAAATTTGTTGACGCCAATTTGGAAGATGTACGACAGAACTTTCAACTTTTATCCATAATGGTGCCCCATTTGTATGAAATAATGTATTTGAATCCGGAACGCATGTCGCAAACATTATTAGGAATGATTAAAGGAAAGTACACTGAATATAAAAAAAATCCTAAGCAATATCCCTCGTTAGAAGTTTTGATCTTCTTAAAGTTGGTCTCGAATTTATGTTCGACTTCAGATTTTAGACATCCCGTTGTCACTCCCTGTTACATATTTATACAGCATATATTGTCGAAAGCAAGAATACGCTCGCGCCAAGATATAGCGATGGGTTTATTTTTAGTTACGTTGTCTTTGGAATACGCTCAGTTGTCTAAACGGTTCTTGCCAGCTGCGTTCAACTACCTCCTTGGTGTGATCTATTTAAGCATACCAAAAAGACCAGTGGAGACTTTAAAAATTTTGCCACCCTTTCAAAGTCACGGCATCTTCAACAGGTTATTAGCCATACCAGAGGAAAGCGACGTTTTCAAGAATATACCTGAGCAGCTAATGACAAGCGAAGATTTAGTAACTCAAACGATAAATGATGATTTTAAACTCCGCGCACTAAATCATTGTCTTAAATTAATACAAAATGCTGTTGAAACTGTTAAAGAAAATGTGGGCGCAAACTATTTAGCTATGCCATTATTGGAAATGTTAGAACGTTTGCCTTTGTCCTCTTACCCGGATTATATTAAGACGAATTATGAGAAAACTAAAATAGGTTTAGAAACGTTAGCCAACAAGAGCTTGAAAAAATTGGTGCCTCCGGAGAAGAAACCTAAGGCTTTGCGTTTATTAGAACCGCGGATCGAACAGATATACGATGATAAACGGCGTCCCAAGCTGTCGAAGCATAAAGAGGAAAGAGTTAAACTTTTGCACAAAGTTAAGAGAGAAACCAAAAGTGCCGTGCGCGAGCTACGACGTGACACTCAGTTCTTGCAAAAAATGCGTTTGCAACAACAACTACAAAGGTGAGTTGAACCAAACGATTTCATTATATTTTATAGTGTAACGGGCTTTTAATTTCAATGATTTTCATATGTACTTTTCAGTGATGCTGAACGTCGCGAAAAAGTTAAACGTATTTTTGCAGAGGCCTCCTTGCAGCAAGGCGAGCTCAATGCTTTGGACAGAGCCAAAAAAAAGAAGAAATTCTAATGCTTTGCCTGCGTTCGTTAGCATTTCCCATTATTATTATTTTTTATTTTTATTTTTTTTGTAATCAAACTTAAGCGGCTCCTGATATTTGGCGGCACCTCAAAGTCGCTTCCTCGACGGCTCCAGCCACAGTCGAACGAAAACCTGAAAATACGATGGAAAATATTAAATAAGATAAAAAATAAAAACATTTTAACTGTTGCTACCTTTATCCTCTAAGTGCTTTAAACCAAACGCTGTTGATCCAGCTGGGCTAGTTACGTTATCTTTCAAAACTCCCGGATGTTCTTTGCTGTCTCTTACTAAATGGCCTGAACCCATAACTGTTTGTGACGCCAATCGATACGCCATATCTCGCGGAAGACCCATACGTACCGCGCCATCCGCCAGTGCCTCAATCATTACAAATACATATGCAGGGCCACTGCCACTTAAGGCCGTTATAGGATCTAAAAGGTATTCACCAACTTCTTCGCAAGTGCCAATGGCTTCTAAAAGAGATTGAGTGTTTTTAGCGTCCTGCTCGGTAGCCTTACTACCTCGTACGAAGACAGAGCACCCAGACTGCACAACTGCTGGAGTGTTTGGCATTACCCGAATTACACGAGCTTTCGGTGAAAGATTCTACAAAAATGAAATTTTTTCAATATCGGACAACGATGGTATTAATAACAAACTTTTTCATCTCAAACGCTATAAATACTTCACAGTAGCTACAGTAAAAGGCATTAATTTCTTACTAGAAGAAAAAATCATCCATTGTTGTAATATTAATTTTCATCCACTCGTATAAAAATGTTTATATGGTATATATATATGTATATATTTATGATATATGTATATATATATGATATATGTATATATGTATGATATATGTATATATATATGATATATGTATATATATATGGTGAATATATATACTTATATGAATTTGTTATACACATATAGAAATGCATTGATTGATAACGTGCAGCTTAAACCTTTCGCATACAGTTATCAGTATTGAAAAGTAATCGTTGTTTCTTTTATCTCCAGTTTCATTCACTCTCTTCTCTTCTTACCTGTTCCAGTGTTTTTATTGTTATGCCCATGGCCACGGAAATGAATAATTTATTATCACTTATGGGCTTAACTTCGGTTAAAACCTCAGGAACTACTTGAGGCTTAACCGAAACGAAGACAATGTCGGAGCTGTTGACAACTGGATCATTTTTAACTATCGTCTCTACACCTAATTGCTATAAAATTTAAAAGAATAATAAGTGAAAAATTTCTATGGAAATTCTGTTGTCCACATTATACCTGAAATGATTCCAAGGATAAAGTATCTGCCGGATGGACACTGGCAATTAATGCTTCGGCTTTTGTTAAACCTAAAGGCGAAAATTTTTATTTCAATATTTGCAATTTTCCTTCAATTGAAAATTAAAAATTTTTAAATTTAATATTGAGACTCGATAACTGTTTCGAAGTGATTTCAAGCAACGAAGGTTTACACGTCTTAAGTCAATTCTCTTTAACTGTATAATTGCTATATCCATCACCGAAGGATGGAGTGTATATTCACTTTTTGTCGAATCGCTTGCAACCAGAAGGAAGGTTCAGAAATCCCACAGGGCGAAGTATGTACACTCCTGATCAGCATCGCATTCTAAATCGATTTAAGCATTTCCATCTGTGTAATGCCTTGTAAACACTCTTGTGGCCGCAAAAATGAAGCTATCGACTTCAAACTGGCCAGAAACATTGCAAGTTTTTGCAGGCAGATTGGTATTGAAAATGGGCCAAAACGGTCGAAGGACATGTCCACAGCACCTCGTAAAGTGAGAACACCTGTTTTTCCAAAGGAATAGAAAATTGTTCTTTCGATCATTACTCCTAAACTATAGCAGACAAATGTACAAAAATTTGAACTTTGCATTGCATTCTGCGGATGATGTTGTAGTGCCTATACAAAAATGGGAAAATTTTACGCCTGCCCACTATTATGAAGCATCAACTTTTAATTTTTTTTTCCAATACCTTTATAGGGCGCAGAACCAAGCTTCAAAAACCCCATAAAATGTACAAATTTTTGGTCAGTTTCAAATTTGGAATGCACCTAAGCATGTGGTCTGTTCAATATCTGTGTTGCAAAAGAATTTGGAAACGATCTAAACTTTTTAGACGACGTGCACTCGAAATTCACACGCCTCGTACGACAAAAACGTTTATTTTGAAATTAGAAAAGATCAGCAGCGCACTCTCCGTATTATAGAGGATGAAAATTTATTTTTTTTACATTTTCCGTCTATTTAAGGATGACGTAGGTGGGTGTAAAAGATTCGTCACGGACGAGTATAATTTTCTTACTTGTTTTAAATTACGTAATATATAAGTGGACCAATCAGGGCCAATTTTAATTAATAGAATTTCGTTAAATATCTATCACATCGTTTAATATATCATCGATGGAAGCTTTTATTTCTGTGGAAAAATTTGTTGATCACTACTCCTTTTAGACCTGATCTCTTGACAAATAAGCCAAGAATATATTTGCCATGTTTGAATTTCCTATGTTAAAGGAGTCGGCTTGTAAATAATATTCGATGTTGAACACGTTGACTTGAAATTTCCTCCTCATCGCGAATATAATCGACTTTATTTAAGAGAAATGGCAAAAGGTGATCAGGTTGATGATATAGGAAGTAAAAATTTGCTCTAGACTTTAGGTAATAGGGCGATAATGTGGGTTTTTATAAAAAATCGCTGAGTCCTTCTGGTGATATCAGTCTATCTCTCACAAATACAGTTACATGTTTCAGAGTTCGCTTTGAATATTGTGATTTTATTATTTATTTATTATTTATTTAGCCTTTGCACAGATTAGTTTCCAAAGAATACGTTTGCTAATGCAAAGTGAGGTATAATCACTTTTAACCTCTGATGTTATCTGTATAATGCTCGGGCGTCAGTGAAACGAGTTCACAAAAGAATATATCAATCTGTTTTGGAACACCTTTAATGTATGGCTGCATATGTGTAGACTTCGGTTGACTATTTTTAAAACCCGATAAGTAATATCGGAACTTGTCTTTGACTACGGAAAGCACAAATCCTCCATGCAAATTAAACGATTATTTGTTTCGTCAATCCCTTGAAAATTGCTGACATTGTTGTTGAACCCGAGAGAAAGAGAGAGAAGAAAAAGTAAAGTTCTCGTGGCAGAATATAGGAAGACATTGATCCTTTATAAAAAATCAAAGACTAAGACATTTAAACCGGCAAGTGTATGCTGTTTGAATAAACCGCAGGAATATGGTCCGAAATTTTTTCCTCAAAGTTGGTAATGATTTGGAATTTCACCACAAAATACGCCTACAACATCTAAGTGTCCGACTGCCCAATTATAATAAACATTGTCCTGTTTGCAAAATTTGCAAAGGAATAACCCAAACCGGTCAAAGCAAAAGCCTACAAAGCCCGCAAGCTTGTGCAACAACAGCTTTGAACACCTTTGCTTTGTGTGTTTTTTTGTTCCTTGTCACCTATAAAGTGCAAGACGTACATCATAGGAATTTTCACTTTCATTCTGAAAATAGAATAAGTCAACCGTGTAGTCTCCTTTTTTTAAAATCTTTTTTTGCATAATGGTGATGGGTGCAAAAGATTCGGCCATGATCGAACATAATTTTCATATCGGGATATAATAAATGATCAGTGTAAACATAGGTGATTTTATGTATTTGCGTCTGCTGTTCGGTGTTTGTTAGGGTCCCAATATTTTCCGCAAACTGAACGTAAGCTTATTACCGATTACTGTTATCTAAAACGACTTTTTATTTTTTATTTATTTGTTCTTTTAATGTTATCTTTCAATTTCACTTTTTCATTATTTGTACATTTGTTTCTTTTATCATTTATTTTGCTTTTTTTTGAAATATTTGAAATTTTATTATTTTCCTAAAAACTATCTTTTTAAGTTTTAAAAAAAACTTTACACAATTAACGGAAAAATTCTTATATAATTTCCCATTATTTTCCTTATTTTTTTAAGATTTTGCAAAATTTTTTACAATTTTCAGCTCAATTGTTTGAAATGATGCAATATTTACCGGCCGATATGAAACCTTTAGCCATAGCCTGGGCTATGCGACCACCCCCTAAAAAACCAATTTTGCCGATTTTATTCATTATCGAATAATTTCGTTTTTGTTAATTTTTTTTTATATTTTATATATTTAATTCTTTTTTAGCTGCGATCCGTGCACTTATAATTTTTTAAAGTCTTCTGTACTAAAATTTTAATGAAATACTGAACTCATTCTACGATCGTACTTTATCAATAACCGCTTATTGTTAAAGTGTTTGCCTTTCCCTGTGCATCAGTCGAGAAAATGACGACAACATCTGAACGCTGTGGACTCTACTTAATAAGAAGAGGAAAATTTTATAAAAAAAAAAAAATGGGAAAAATTTCTTTTAAATTATTTTAAATAAAGTATTTAATTTGAAGGGATAAATCTTTCAAAAATATAAATACCTTTAGCCACTAGGTGCAGTGAAAAGAAAAAAGATATCAAGGGAGAGCAGTCATCTTTTTTGAAATTTGATTCTCTTTGAGATATTACATGTTTGGAGTCCATACACAAAAATTAATAGTATGAATATTAGTCGGCTTTTATTCAATCCGGTTGAGAAAGATATTAAACGCTTTTCCTAGATATGTATGCGTAATTACTGAAAGAAAAAATTTTTGTAAATGATGAAAAGACTAAAATCTGTCTCGAGTTGTTTTAATAATAGCAGTTAATAATTGAAAAGCATTTATAAATTACTGCGCTCTGTAGGGTATAAAAAGCAATAATCATAAAAATGAAAACAAAAGTAAATAGAAAAACTTCTACTGATAAAGTAATATTTTTATATTTTGGCGTAGTGTCATTGAGGATTTGCATTCTAGGTACAAACGCACACTTATATATATATATATATATATATTTATATGTATGCATAAGTACGCGGAGATTTTTCAAATTTAAACATTTCTACACCTGCAGTACTTGTTATCAGTTCGAACATAAATGTAAACGAAAATCATTCAAGACGAATACTGTTGTAGTTCTTGTATCTCCGTTACGTAAAAGAGATAATCAAAAAAATGTCGATACGAAAACGTTCGTGTCTCTATATAGGTATTTTGCTGAAAAATTCTTATCATAAAAGGGGTATTAAAAAAACAAATTTATTTTTTTTTATTTCCACAATTTGTAGGTCATGTCCAAATAATTAATTTTTATTATCCGACTTTTAACCCCTTGAGAACAATTCCCGGGAATTTAAAGTCATTAACAAATTCATAAACAAGACATTTTTTGCATCTTCTTATCTATCTTTTAAATTTACAAAGCATTTTGAAATGAATAAAATGTTATGCTTAGCGCCCCTAAGTTTTTATTAAAAGTGCCAATAAAAAGTGTCATTTACTTGGAATTAAGGAGATTTTAAAACTAAAGTTGTTGTATCACCGATTCTTCTGTTTTTTCTAAGCATAAGCTTAGAAATCGCTACATTGACGAGAAGTTAAAATATTGTTCCTTATTGGCGAAGATGTCAAATTATCAATGCAGAGTATAAGATAAAATTTCGCAACGTAAAACATAAAAGAGATATAAATTATAAATTAGATTAAAAATTTCTAAATTTAAAATAAATTGTCTTTACATCTTGTTGTATGTATGTACACATGCAAAACCAATTCCTACAAAGTCTCGTAAAAAGTTGGTAAAATTGAAGTTCCATCCCTAAAATAGGAATAACACATCATTGTACGAAACGCTAAGGTTGTCGGGGGAAACAAAACACAAACGTTATATTGGAATTATAGGTTCGTTTTGAATAACTTTTTGTTTTTGGAAAATAATCATATATATACTGAGCAATATGATAAAAGCTCGCGTTTTCCGTATATTGAAATTAAAAGTTGCTGTCATCTTAAATGTCAGGCGAATGCATTTTCGGCAACATTGACGGGTACACGCAAAATAGCTTTTAATGCTTTAATTACAATTTTAAAAATATTAAAGGATAAGTTGTGTAGTGGGACCATAAAGTCTTTTACGGCACCGAATACCGTTGAACGGTGTAAGAGTTGAGTATTGATACAGACGTATCTAGATTATAGAAGGGTTTTATGGCCACTTTAAACCTTCTAGGGCTAGCAATCCTTTCGATATTGAGTGGTAGCGACGCCAACAGTTCACCAACGATAGCAGAAATTTGCAGAATTACTTGCAGTTCTTCAAAAACATTTTTAAACATTTTATCTTCCTTTCTGTTTAATTTTTTGATCAACCCTGGATAAAAAGTAGCAGTGTTAAAGTTAAAAGATGACAAATTTGTATAAAAATGATCTAGGTCTAGATCAAGTGGAGTTTGTAAATACTTGTATGAAAGTGACCTAAGCCGAACTTTAGTATCTAACACAATGCCAATAAGTAATCATTAATTATTCGATATTAAAATTGAGTATTGATCGTTTAGCTTTCCAACCTACCGACGAAATTTCTACTTACTTCCTTATGTATAATTGAATCACACACGATTCTTAATAACTATTTTTGATTTATTAATTACTATTATTAAAGCTTTTTGATTCATTCATTACTTAAGCCTTGTTTGCGTATTGCTACTCTTCGCGACGTGTGCGATGTCCGCTTAAACCATCTGTATATTAATTTTAAAAATTTTCATATATCACTTAAAGCAATTCTTGTAAAGTATGCTTTCGATAGAACACGACCCAAAGATTGTGAATACTATAACATCGTTTCGATACAGCACGATTTCAAAAAATCAAATATGTTTTTTTAATGAACACACTACTGCGAGAGGAGTTTGCACCAACTTGCAGCTGTAATTTTTGATGAAAAGTAACGTTCTGATTGTCAAAATTTTTTTGAATATATTTTTAATTATCGCATTTCATCATAGAGTTGAATTTCAAATTTTTTGTTTTTTGAAAACTTGAAGATAATTTAATTTTTCATTATTGTATTCATTTGGGAAGAATTTATAATAAAATTTTCATCGCAAAAATGTACTCCTTAAAAGTTGGTTTCGACGCAAAATGATAGACATTGATTGATTGTTTTAAATTATTTCAAGGGATCTTATAACACGAACAAATTTTCAACACATCACGGTGCAGATTATTTTGATTTATATTAGGATTGACTTTAAATTATGATATGTTAATTTAAATAAAGAAATAGTTTCGTATAACACGATACGAAATAAACGTCTTTAGCGGTGGACGTCTGTATATGGCTTTTTGATATATCTATTTGCAATAATTTTCATATATTAATGACATCGTGTGCATTCATTGAAAATTGATGACTTTTAACAATTTCTCTCCTTCCTCTCTCTTTCTATCCATGAACGATAAGTAATCGATAACAATGAAATGTCTAAGTTTCATAACATCACTAAGGAAATTGTAATAATATGCAAAGAAAATTTTCGAGTTTTAGGCACATTTTGTTAAAAGCTACATTAGAAAAAAAAAAGGAAAACACCACTTAAGTTTAATAACATTTGTTGCTCGCCATAAGTCTAAAAATATTGTAACAATATTAATTGCTGAAAAGAGAGCATTGCTGCTGTAGTATTAGGCCTGAAAAAGCAGAGAATACGCAATCGTGAACAACGAAAACAAAACACTAACATTGAATGTAAAGGAGAAAATTTGACGTTTTTATAAAATTCCTGATTATATTTTGGATTTGCCCAGGTGAAAACGATTAATTTTCTGCATTGTATCGGCCTCGAAAAGTTAGTTGTGTACGATAAGATTTCGTATTCCACGCGCACATTTGGGAAATTAAATAACAAAAGGCAAAAAATAAAAAGGTGAGTTACGGCATGCGAATTGAAATTGTTGTAAGGAAGAAATGGAAGATGAGAGGGTTATATGTGAGCAATGTGAACGATTCATCATATTTTTTTTGTTTTTTTTTTCTTATTAGAAAAAGGAAATGTTTATGTTTTCCTTATGTGTGACGTGTCTTGTATGGTTTGCATAAGCCAACAATAAATTAATACATATACGTTGCAGTTTTATCTTTTACGTCAATAATGGAAGTGAAAAAGATGTCATCGTCGGGTTCGTCGGCCCGTAAACAACCCACAGCTATATCACGTATGAAACAGGATTATATGCGTTTAAAACGTGATCCATTGCCTTACATCACAGCTGAACCTCTGCCTAATAATATACTTGAATGGCATTATGTTGTCAAGGGCCCGGAAGACACCCCATATTTTGGTGGATACTATCATGGTACACTGCTATTTCCACGTGAATTTCCATTTAAGCCGCCTTCAATCTATATGCTGACGCCAAACGGCCGTTTTAAGACGAACACGCGATTATGTTTAAGTATTTCAGGTAAGGGATAACATACGCCACCTACATATTATAGGCGTTTCTAGAATTCATAGCTAATAGAATGCAAAAAGATTTTTGCATTAACAAAAAAATTTGAAGGAAAGGTCACTCCAACTCCATTGGGAACATGGGGACCCGCGTATGTACATTTTTGTTTTCTTATTTTTGCTTTGCTGGCGAAAGATCAAATTTGAAAATAGATCTGATAAATAAATGAGTTGAATTTTGTAAATGAGTTGAAATTGTACAGTATGAGGTACATTTAAACATTCCGAGTGCATGATCTGCTCCCCAGCACGCTCGCAATAAATAAAGCGTACAACTAAGAATTCATAGCTTTTTGTGAAAGTGTTTGGAACGCTACGGGACGCGCCCACAATTATAGATAATTTGCCATTTCCATATATTAGTTTGGGGAAAAAGAAATCCATTATTTTTTCGGTAGATGGCTGCACTGATAGATTTCTCGTAAAGTATCGATCAAACAATTTCATATTTATGCTCGTTGGAAAGGTGACATTTCGCAGTAAAAAAAATTATTTTGCTGTTTTTTGTTTGGTGCATTCAGTTGTGAGTTACAGCGTGTTAAAAATGGAAGTGAACAAAGAGAAAATTCGGTATATTTTACAGTTTTTCTTTGACAAAGGCGAAAATGCAAGCCAGGCGGCTAAAATTGTGAATGGTGTTTATGGTTCCGATACTGTAACAGCCAATTATGTGAAATTTTGGTTTCGTAGATTCCGTTCAGGAATTTTTGATGTTAAAGATACGCCTCGCACAGGTCGTCGAAAATGTCGATAAAATCGGAGAAATGATCGAAGTTGACCGGCATGTTAGCAGTCGTAACATCGCCCAGAAGCTAAAAATCGACCATAAAACAGTTTTAAACCATTTACACAAAGCTGGATTCAAAAAGAAGCTCGATGTTTGGGTGCCACACCAATTAACAGAAAAAAACATGATGGATCGAATTTCCATCTGCGAAGCCTTGGCCAAACGGAATGAGATAGACCCATTTCTTAAACGGATGGTGACTGGAGATGAGAAATGGATCACATACGATAACCCTGTGCGAAAACGACCGTGGTCAAAGAGCGGTGAAGCACCTCACAAACGGCCAGGAAGGTTTTGCTATGCATTTGGTGGGACTGGAAGGGGATTATTTATTATGAGTTGCTTCCATATGGCCAAACGCTAAATTCTGATCTCTACTGTCAACAACTGGACCGTATGAAGATAGCGATTGACCAGAAACGGCCAGAATTGGCCAACAGGAGAGGTGTCGTGTTCCACCAGGACAACGCTAGGCCACAGACATCTACAGTGACTCGCCAGAAACTTCGGGAGCTTGGTTGGGAAGTTTTAATGCATCCGCCATACAGTCCGGACTTGGCACCAAGCGATTATCATCTTTTTCTTGCATTGCAAAATTTCTTTAATGATAAAAATTTGGAATCTAGGGAGGATTGTGAAAATCGACTACTAGAGTTTCTTGCAAATAGAGACCAGGACTTCTATGAGAGAGGCATTTTGAAGTTACCTTTAAAATGGCAACAAATCATACAACAAAGCGGTGCATATTTGACCCAAATCGGACAATCCGAAGCATGTTAAATAAAGTCCTGAAGTTCATATAAAAATAATGGATACCTTTTTCCCCAAACTAATATATTTACAGCAAATGGTGACTACAAACTTTTCAATTCAAGGCGAATATAACCTTCATTTTTTTTTTTATTTGGCTCCTTAGAATCAACTATTATATCTCGCTTGTCTAAATTGCCTTTTAGATCTATTGCAGTGAGGTGAGCGGTATTTGAGAGGTTCAAAGTTTTATTACACTTAAATTCTCATTGTCTATAATTCTGTAGAATTTCTTTAGTTATCAGAAGTATTTTCTTTTTTCTATATTTTTCCAAAGATTTCCACCCGGATACATGGAATCCTACTTGGTGCGTTGGCACTATACTTACTGGCTTGCTTAGCTTTATGGTAAATTTCACTTCTTGTCTATATGTATATATACATATATATATATTATATATATATATATATATATTCGCTAAGTATTTATTTCATTGGTATCCCAGACATTCCAGACCATAAATACTCCCGACCATAAATATCCCAGACCATAAATATACCCGACTATAAATAAGTGCTGATGATTTTGCTTATCCAATTTCTATATATTAGTTAGAGACAACAGCAACATTGGGTTCAATCGAGACGACAACCTATGAAAAACAGCAACTCGCCAAAAAATCTTTAGCATTTAATTTGAAAAATCCACAATTTGTTGAACTATTTCCGGAGATATGCGATGAAATTAATAAGCGCCTGCAAAATGAAAAGGAGCAAAAAATGAAAACCCTTAACATGCTGGCGAATGGTGGTAGTAACAGTTGCAGCAATAGCATCATTCCTAATGGCACAAATGCGAAAATTAATAATAATAACACATTAGCAAATGGTTGTGCGGTGGCAAACGGTGCAGTGGGTGCTTTGGGTAATCTTAACGATGCAAATGTTGGACCCGTTCAAGATTTGAATGCCGTTAAGAATTTAACAAATTCATATTTGAATTGGCAATCGAATCTGATAATAATTATATGTTTCGCAATTTTTGCTTTAGTAGTAAATTATGTTTTAAAAAATATAAATCAGGAATAGAAGACAATTACCTTGTGTATATCTTATTAGAAAATATTTTTATATTTAATTTGTTTTTTTTTTAATCGGTTGCTTGTTATGCTAATGATTACGTTAGTCGATCATAAGTTTATCTTTATTTCAAAAAATAGCTTAATCTTAATGAGAGTATAGTCATACGTATATAATAATTTTGCTAGATCGGAGGTTTGAAGTTCACTGTTAGCACGTCTTCCTTTCATACGTCTTCAGCCACCTTTCTTGACATCCTAGGCTATGTGTATTTTAACTTTCGCTGGTTGCGTTAATTTTGGCCAACGATTTTTCCAGGCAAAAGTGATAAAGAAATGGGAAAATGTCAGTGTACATAACGATTAAATTCGATGATCCTGACCTTTCTCTCTCTACCTAAAATAACACTTCAAATAACATTATGGGGATATTCAGTGTCAGTTCAGGTACTAATCATGGAATGCTCAAAATTGCGTTTTCTGCATTCATTACTTATGTTGCTTGATTTAAAGAAATTTGTTGCCGAAGCCCATCAAAAGTTTTTAGAAACTTATGGTGACGCTGCTCCGTTCTATCGCAATTGTCGATTTTGGCCACAACGGTTTGAAAGTGGCGATTTCGATGTGAATGATAAAGAACGGCGACTGGAGAATCGAAAACACAGTGGACAGTGGACAATGTGAAAATAGTGGTTTGAAAGACTTATTGGACGAAAATCCAGCTCAAACTTCAAAAGAACATTCCGACAATTTAGTAGTCAATAAATCCACAGTTCCTCGACGTATACCTTGCAATTTCGGTCATTGAATGGTTTTTTCAAGTGAAAAATGGCCAAAAATTAACAGAACCACCTAGTGCCCTCTGTTCATGGTTAATAAATAATAAACTTGTGCAGGATAGATTGGTAGCCCAAGTTTGCCTGGTCTAGGATTTGGCCATAGAATGGTCAGCTAAGTAAGTTGAATATTTTTAAAAAAGATGATAGACCGCACGACAGAATTGAGCATTCAAAATCGATCTAGTGTTAATAATTACGCATACGCCTGCAGTAAAACTAAAATATATGATCTAAAATTATCTGAAAAACGAACTGCAAGGAAAGGTGAACAAATAGATTGCAAAAAACGGCGGAAAATAAGTTTATTATTTTTTAAATTGTAAAAAGAGAAGAAGAACCCTTAAGAGAAAGCCACTAACGAAATATTATGTTAACAAACGTGCTTCAATTGATAATAACTTGCGAAGCGAAATATCTTGTAAATAAATAAAATATTTAAAAATATCACAGAACTTTTATTCATTCCCGTTGGTAGTTTCTTCAATCTAACGCATAAGTCGTCAGCAACACTTTCGAAAGCAATTTATGTTTATCTGCTTGTTCATCATCGCGTCTGCCCTACTGTAAACTGTATTGTATCTCGAAATTGCGCAAATTGGTTTACGGAGAGGTGTAAAGTTAGCCATTTCCATGTCGGATGATGTTCATAAAAATTGAAATGCTGTAACCATTTCATGAAAGATCAAAGCCTGTAGAGCTTTCAGGGCGACGTTATGTTCCCAAATAGGGGGTGTGTCAGTTGATCGACCGAAGATTTGGGAAAGTTTTTGTACCAAGTTTTAGCTCATTGTCGCATAGTTTATAAATAAGTGGCCTGGCGAATCACTCCCATTTCTGTATAAAGTTCGAGATTTTCAAAAGTCTTGATAGAAGCCTGTTCTAAGTCTTAAGTCGTCTGTTGGGAATTAAACTTTATATTGCCTTAAGGAAGAATGTGAACAAAACTAACTGACAGCGAACCAACAATAAAATCAAACCATTTTCGAGACGATAGGTAAGGAGCAGTGAAAAGTGGATCTTATACCGCGATAATGTGCGAACGATGAATGAAGCCGCAAAAATGGTGCCGAATCTCGGTAGAAGGTAAGGCATTGTGTTTGGTGCAATACGAAGGTAGTCGTGCATCCTGAGCTGTTCCAAATGCGGTCAATTTCCGTGGACAATTAATAATGTGACGGAAGTGCATGTCAACTTCCATGGTGGCAATACATTACACTCCCCTTGAACGATTGAATGCATAAATCGCGAATCTCCCCCCGTCCTCCACCTACATTTCATTTATGAAAGATAATTTTTTTGTCGAAAGAGGCCAATAAACCGCCCAAAATAGTTTTATTAAAAAAAAAAATGACAAAAGGTTATCGATCAAAGTAACGTGTGTTCAGTTTAAAATATTACGAAAAGAATAGAGCCCCTCGAAATGCCTCCTAATCTGTTATTGATCTATTATTTGCTTATCTAAAGCGATTACGATATTCCAACAACAACAGACAAACAGACTCACAGAGAAACGAATGCTAAATCCAGTTCGAATATTACCGTTGTTAATAATATGTCTGATCCATGATGATTTTAATTAGTATATCTGGAAGGTGTAGTCAAAGAGTCAAGAAATCTCGTAATGTAACAATAATGGAGAAATAATTATTTATTTGTGGTGTCGACAAGTGAGTAACTCGTTGAACCAAGAAGGCTTCAAGTAAATTTTCAAGAAGTTATAGCAAAATATCTTCACATCAATTGTCCCGGTTTAGTCAAGGGTCGCGATTGGTTGATATCATTCCTAACAAGCCAAGCGACCACATAAGACGTCTTACAATTGATGTTGACAAATTAACCATCTCTTCTCAGTTAAAGGTCAAGATGATTTCAAGAAATTAGTCAGAAGACATATCACCGTCAATTTTCAAGGAGCAATCAAGACCGCCAGATGTTTCCACATCAATCGTATGAGCCTGGTTAAAGCTGAAAAGGTGGAGCGTAAGAAGTTAATCAAAGCTTTAAAAATTCTCACCGCACCTCCTAGTAAAACGTGGCAATGCAAACGTAAGGTCTATCTACCTTGGGCAAGGGATATCTACCTTGTCTAGTTTAAGATCAAGATGTCGATCGGTTGCAATAATGCAAAGGACATAAGAGATTTTACCTTCCACCCGTTGTCAAGTTTTCATCAATGATAGGGTGTGTGTCGATCTCAACGTCAACAACACATAACCGTTAAATATCGTTTGTCGGGACTTAATCAAAGGAATAAGTTTATTGGTTTTAAAACATTATAGTACTATGAGGCAAGATGGTCCGTTTGGTAAAAAATACTTACTGAATCTTTACGGCCCAAAGGAGCACTTAGGCAAACAGGGGCGTTCTTAGTAGTAAGAATGTGATTTTAGTTTAAATTGATTGTAAATCGGTTTAACATTTAAAATATGTACTTTAAATGTGTATGTGTACTATGTATACATATACACAAGTAATAATTTATTAACATTTAAAGTGAAGTTTAATTTTTTGTTAACACTCTTTAACAACAATCATAGAACATAGCAAAACAACGTAACCGGAGCAAAGACTATGAAAACAGATTAACACGGTAAATAAACTTAAGCGAACGGATACGTGTTTTTCAAAGTGACATTTTCAATAGAAAGTGCTCGCACGCAGGCATGCATGCATTCGCTTGAATACTCTTTCTTAACATCATACGAATGGAAATGTATGCATACACACACACACAAACACACACACACACAGTTAGACACACAAACATTCAAGTGAAATTTCTCGTTACCAGTTTTGCGAGCAGACAGTAAGTAAGTTTATGCATATATATGTACGCAAACGTAATAAATAAACTGTAAATGTATGCAAACAGAAGAAAAGTTTTCCACTAAATGCAAAACTAATGTAAAAACTTTATCGTTGTTGATTGCCGTTGTCTATGTTGTTATTGTTCGGAATGCATAAACGCATAAACAGTAACGGAAGATTTAAGAAATTTTAACTTCCGTTACCAAGTGACGGCAAATCCCGCCTTTCTCGTTGCCCGTTCCTCGTTCCTCGTTCCTTCTTCATCTTTCTCTCTCTCTCTCTCGCTCTGCCGTTTTACAGCTTGATTTTGTTAAGTATTTTATGTAAATGCTATTGAAAAATGTTAATGTTAAAATCGTCATTATTGCTTTTGTTATTGTTGTTGTTTGCTTACGTAAAAATTTTGTGGTTCGCATTTTTCTTTTTTTCTTTCAATTTCAAAAGCGGAAAATTCAATTGAAAACTTTTCTCCTTTATTTCCTTGATTGTTATCTACAATCGAGATAGAAAGATAAAAAAATAAAAAAAACGAAAAAAAACAAAGAATAGAAAAGAAAATTTATCTGTGTAAGTCTACCATCAACTGGTTGGTTTTGTCTGTTACTCTTAAAACTTTGTGTACATTTTTTTGTTTTCATTTTTTTTCTCACAATTTCTATAATGAATTTCTGTTATCGGTTTTGATGTTCGATTATGATATTAGCAAATTTCTACTCACATACAATATAAAGTTCATTTTTTGTTATTGCATTCAAAGTCGGCCGCCAGCTCTTTTATAATGTTATATAATAATCGACAGTTGTGTAAGAATGTCAATGAAGACCGCAATCAGGTAAATAAAGCTGCTTGAATTGACAATACATAATATGAACAACAACGTGGACACATGCATACAGACGCGTAGACATACAATAGCAAAGCAAACGCATACATATTCACCACGAAACGAAAACACAGACGGAAAGCACATTCTATCGAATTATGTTTCAGTTCCTGACATCGTCAAATCCATTAACGTCAACTTCGTAGTGTTGACAAGCTATGTACGCTACGCGTAACGAGAGACGACAATATATTTCGAATCCGGGAAGTAGCCTCAACGATATGTTAAATTTCTTAAAGCTGGGAAAATTGAATGCCTGCAGTGTACGTGGATCTACTTTCCTCTCCGTTCCTCTTCTATAAGACTTGTGTCGAAATTCTTTTCATTCCAGAGCACTTGGTTATAAGAACGCAGCAGCTGTGCACATAACTCTTTAAGCGGATTTTTGAATGAAAAAACTAAAAAATATCGCAACATATTTTAATCAAACTATTCTTTATTGCTAGCACACACGTTGCTCCCACCTATCTGGCAATTTATGGGCAATACTGCGCCTTACTATACTGTGGATATCATTTTTTGGCAAACGCTCACACTCGGATGATAGTATATCTGACAAAAGCTGGCAAACACAATTTATGTGGCCGTGCACCATACTGTTGGCGGACGAAACGAAGTTAACTTCTGACTTTCCAGGAGAGATATGCATGCATGTTTGGATTCATATGTCAAACTTTAGGGCTTGCGAAGAAAACATTAATATAATGCGTCGTGACGTCGACAATGCTTTGCTTAGAATTAACACATTTAGCTTTTCGCACTCTACTCTCCAAGTCTAAGAAAAAACGGATCCTCCACGTTATCGAGTCCGCCGTATTTACTTTAGCCAGATAATATTTGTGAATGTTTAAAATAATTTTCAACATTCTGCCCTGCTCATCTTATAACCAATAAGCAGAAAACATCGAAAAGAGTGAAAAAAAATTTGACCTTGCGTAGGCGTAGTCGATTTTTGTATGTCTGCTGGAGGAACAACACCCATAGAATGCAAATGAAAATTTTCGTCGTTGTATCTGTTGAAGTTTATAAGTAATGAGTAGAAAATGAAATTGTTTCTATTTTTGAAAGCAGAGGTGATCTCAGATTATGTTATGCTTTAGTAGTGTTCGTGTTGACCGATTCGTTCTATTTTCGACACTAAACTGCGCGCAGGAACTTTTACTGTCTCTGCCAACTTTGAGTCCATTGTTCAACTCGATCGTTCGAAGCGATTGACTTGACTATTCGGCTCGATCGATGGGCATTTCGAAAACGTGGAGGAAAACGCTTTTCTCTTTAGAGGAAAACTGTTGTCTTTTTCTTCTCTTGTAGCTTTTTTAAAATTAATGGTTTTTTTTTTTTAAATCAAAAAGACGCAGCAAGCCACGAACCACATTATATTCTACTGTCAGTAGATAAGCAAGCAAGAAAGCTTTTCAACTCTCCATCAAATTTTGAATTGTGATAATGGGTGTTTTAAAAGAGTCTTCCAATTATGTGGAAAATTTTAAGGCCGTCGTTAAAAAGTAGCCGGAGATGTGATAAATTTATTAAAAATAATATTTAGCTCTTATTATTAACAAGATCGGAATATATTTGTTATACGCTACAATAGGTTATGATTTTTTTTACACTTAAAGCATTTTATAAAATTTTTTTTGAAGCAGTCAGTTTGCTCTCTGTCATTATAACGTTCGTTTTTCTTTCAAAACCGCATTACGTATATAATATATATGTGAGCGTGCATGTGACTGTTGTGGAAAAATCATTTTTGCTCTGTCTGCTTTCATTGTTGTTGACCATTGTATTCTCAATGGAGATGGGGACAGCAGTACGTACTTTATAAAAGTCGACTAACTTGAATATTTCGCACATACACGCACACACACAATCAAAATGTGAAAAATAATCATAATAAAATGCACACACACAACAAGACGGCACTGTTCTTTCTCTGTTCAACAAAGACTCATATTTATTCCTTATAGCGAACATGAACACGTGCATACGTATATGCACGTGCATTCACACATACATAAACGTATGTACGTACACACGTATACCAAAGTGTCAACGCATTATGGTAACAAATGTATAAACTGGTAATGGTTAGTGATGTTGCGCTAGTTCTATAATGCAACAAAGTATTAACTTTATATTGAAACAGCTAATGTTATATAATGAAGTATGTATGTATTTGCTTGTGTTATCGCATGGAGAAAGCAGCAAAAAAGAAAAAAAAAAAAAACAAAAAAACTAATAAAAAGAAGCAAAAGAGAAAATAGGGTAATTTGTTAAGTTTATATTTTGAAAGCAAGCAGTAGCGGCAACACTAGCAACATCAGTAGTATGTATCATCAGCAGCAGGAAGTTAATAATGTTTGATTTAGTTTTTGTAGATTCATGCGGTGCATGAACAGCTAAGAGTTTGACTTGTCTTGATTTTATTATTAATATATATATATATATATATATATATATATACTTACTTTTTGCTACTTTTAAATGATACAAAAAAAAAAAAGCGTTTAAAAGTGAGATTTTTATCCCTGTCTAATATTTTTTGTTGCAATTTGAAAAGATTTGTTTATTTTAAAAAAGCTGGTCTTGTTAGTGCTACCTCTTGTATGCAATAAATTTCCCGTTAACGTGAAACGTGTCCTTAATAATGTTAGAACGAACATGCTTACACACGCAAGCATATTTAAAGCACACATACAGATGTGTTATATGTGTGTGTCGTCGTATGTACGATGTACGCGTTTGCTGGTAAAATAAAACTGATTTTTTTAAATAGTAAAGCACAGATGCATGCATGTGTGTGTGCGCACATTTTTATCTGCAATCAAATAACAACAGCTAAAGCAACGATGATAACTGCAAATGTACAAAAATATGAATGAATGCACAAATACATCTCACGTTATATTATTTTTGCTGATTTTGGTATTTTTCAAGTAGATTAACTTGAAAAATGATAAAAATTTGATACGAAATATTAACAGCACGTATGCGATTTCATCATCAGAGCTTATTAAGACACACAAATTTATGAAATTTATGAAATGATGTTGAAAGTTGAACAGATTGAAATTCCGTACCAATATAAACTGGTAGACTATTTCTGAAAGGTTTTATCAAATACTTTCCTTAATTAGAATGATGCGAACACGAGTTACACACGAGGGGTGTGGAAAGAGTAATCATCAATCAAGTTGTAATCGTTTAATTGTCTGCTTTCATTACACATGATCTATTTCTTATTTTCCTGCACCCGCGAATGTTTGTGCTGCACACAAGCAATACATAGGGGTAGTGGCCGTCAAGCTAGAGGAATACTAACATTAAGTATTTAAGGGGAATATAAAGATAAATTCGAATTTAACTAAGGCAAATATCCACTAACCAACTTAACAAAGCTCTGGAAACACGTTGAAGATGAAGAAATGCTTGGATTTGGAAGCCTACTGCATCCAAACTGGAAAACTTAAATTATTTTTGTGGACGAGTCACGAATCTACTTCAAACAAGCTGAAAAAATTCAAGTACTGCTTTCAGAAACTGTTTTTAATCATTTTTTAACATTTTTGCCACGCCCGAAAACTTCGAACTCCAAATTATCTTCCTACATGTAGTTATTATTTAATTTATTTAATTTCTTTAGGTTCATACTAATTAGTGACGCTGGTATTAGGTACGTCAATATGAAACCGAAATTTTTTGTATAGAAAATACATTTTCGTTGTATGAAAATAAGAAGAAACATTTCATTCGAAGTATTTGTCCAGTCCTGTTCACTACACATTTATTCCATCCGATCTGCCTTTACAAATTTTTCCCTTTTGCTTCGAACCATTGATCGAGAAGAAAGCGCTGCTAGGGTATGGTCTTCTGATCGAATCAGAGCGAACGAGATAGTACTAGAACGGCCTAGTACTTCCATCCAAAATGAAAGGATGGACGAGTGACCCTTAAAAAAGGGCCTCGTGTTGTTCTTTTTTCGTATTCAAATCGATTGATTATTGTTAGAAGTGTTTAGTATTAACCGCTTCATCGGACTTTAGCAGATGTCTCTGCTACCATCATACACAAAGAAGCGCCTTCTTCTTGCCTTAACAATTCAATCTTGGTAGAGATGTAGATGACACGCCTGGATCTACTTATGAATTTTCACGCCTGGACTTCTCAAAATTCGAGATTCTCAAAATTTTGTATCGTTCGTTACAAGCTATGCCGCTATATGAAACTATTATTATTTTAAGTGGCAATATTTGTTGTCAGATGTCAATAGGAAAATGGCGTCAAATGACGGTGTTCAGCAGTAATTGTATTGACAGCAAAGGTCATCTATATTCAAATTCCGGTTTCATATTTACATACTAGATAAAGGAAGATGTGTTTCCGTGGAAAAAAAAACATAATTCGTTTCATTCATTAAATGACTGGAAAGGGGGCTTGATCTTCCATGCAAACTTTTCTTTTTCGATTTGCACGATTTTATGAGGATCATGTCTGCGCCCTGTAAAGCAGGAGGGAGATGTAGAGCAGTGTACGTGCTCACTGCGCTGTAAATCTTATAGTTACGTATCTATTCACTCATTTAATACTGAAGGAAAATAGCAAAAGAAAATGTGTTTTTACGTATCTAAATAAATATATATCTTCTGCATATTATTCAGATAATTACAAATTATAATTTTTGATGTTTTCTGCATCCTTGTCTTTCCCTACAGGAATACTAGTAGTAGCTCCGTTTATAATTGTTCTCCCGTTTTTCAAGCAAAGCACGAATTTATGTACATTTGTTTACATTTATGTAGACTTTGTGGTAAGACATCTTTGTGTTCATAATCACACATACACACACGGAGCAAATCAAGTACTATGTGGTTTTGGCTTCTCACTCAAGTTTATTTGTAAACTCTTTACACATCTGATGTTTATTTCATATATAAAAACATGCTTGAATGCTTTAAGCTTTTGTGGTATTACATACATATACATATACATATTACAAGAGCATTTTTGTATCTTTCATAGAACAAACATGCAAATCAAAATCGGAGATCTATTTACATAAGCGGGAAGAGCTTCAACTCTTTTTCTGTTATCGACAATAAACTCCATAGGCGAGTGGATGAACTGTGTTCAAAATTCTCTTTAAAATATATAAAGATTTCTTGCTTTATATGTATGATATATATATATGAAAACATGTGTTAAGGCTAAGGCTTCTGGAATGAGTACAAGTGCTTGTGTTGCTCAAGTTGTTCTTCTACACAACTATCGTTGTTTTATAGTGATCGAAATGTATTAAATTTCATTATGAATATATTGAAAATGACGCGTGAATATTATGAATGCATCGGTCAATAATTTAAGGAATTGATAAATAGATATCGTCTAGAGCTTTTACGGACGGTGCGTTTTACATTTTCAAAATAATGAAAAAAATGCATCTTTCGTATGCTTACTAACAAAACTACTTGCAGACACCGGTGATGTTAAAGACAGCAAATGCCCGGAAAGTATTACAAAAATTCTGAAAATTGTTTTTGATAAACGAAAAGCGGACTTGACTACCCGCCGACATCTTAAAGATGCTGAAGGCATCTTCTCGTATGGAAATTTGACCATTAGAAAACTGTTGCCCAAATAGGTAGATAGCTTGTTTACTTACCGTGGAACAAATGCAATTTGTGACATATCGTTGACTGTAATGGGAAAATTGCATGAATCAAAGTTCAACTTATTATCACAGTCACTGTGTTCTCTAGATTCTCAGCGACTATTATCTAATTGCGAATCTCGAAAAGATGCGTTTAGGAAACAGCATTTAAGTTAAGTGGATTTAAGCTATTGCGTTAACTGAAATGTGAGTTTGTGTGTTCTGACAAATCGGATCGAAACTTCACATCGGTGTTAAGTTGGTTATATCATTCCTAACGAAGATCATTTTGATTGATAAGCTCGAATTCTGTAAAG